TCAAATGAACTCTAGCTAAGGAAGGCTTTCTGGGGGGGGGGCACCCAAACAGCACTTCTGTAGACACCCCAAGGAAAAACAGCCCACCACCTCCCGAGATTAGGTCCCACTGGCAAACAGCTTTTACAGCCAACACAAAACCACTCTTTCTTTCATAAAGCCCTGGTTTCTTCATCTTCTAAACAGGTCTGGACAATTATTTCCTGTCTTCAGGCTAAAGAGACCCAGAACTTCCACATCGTCCTTCCAGGCCCTGGATCATCTTTGTGACTCCCAAGACACCCTCCGCTAAGCCCCTGACCACTGCCCAGAGCTGGACACCATATCGTATGCGCAGCCCAAGCAAGCGAAATAGAGAGTCCCTCTGACCGCGCTTGCTTTTGACACATGGAAGGTGCCTCAGATTGTGCCCAATTTTTTCTTCTGCAGCTGCACCGCTCTCTGCTTGGGTTGGTAAGATGCTGCATTTGTCCCTGTTGACACCCCCCCCCCCCGCCTGCTTTGCCTTCTTGTTGCAGCCTGTCAGGACCCGCCTGAGCTCTGATTGCATCCTGAGATATTTTTTTCCCTATCTCCACAGTTCAACCCTGGGCTATAGATTTTTCTTCTACTGGAACTCCCCCACCTTTGTGTTGGGGAGTTCCAGGCAATTTGTAAATATGTAAAAGAGCCCATGGCCCCAAATAGAGCCTCACAGAGCCACACGACGGCACAATTGTTCAGACAGCTCTGGGTCCAGCGACATTTTGCCAGTTTCTGTATCAAAAACTCACAGGAAACTTCTTTACTCACCACAGCCGCAATTCTCCTGTGGTCAACTGAACTCTCAGTAGCAAATAGAATTTGTCACGATTTGTTCTTGATAAATCCATGCTGACATCTGCTAAGTAATAGCGTGCTTTTCCAAATGCTGACTGCTTAATAATTTGTCCCCGGATTTTGCCCAGTACCAACATCAAGTGAACAGGACTTATCTCAGACCTCCTGCTCTCTCCCCCCCCCCACCCGCCCCCTCTTTCTGAAGCCAACTCCATCCCTCTCTAGGGAGAAGAGCAGAGCCACACAGAAGCCCAGGCATTCTGCCTTCCTCTTGCCTGCAGACGTAGCTCAAGCGCTCGTTTTTGTGCTGCTCTTCGTTTTTGTGAGGCTAGTTCTTTGTACTTTGTATGCCTTTCTGACACATTCAAAGTGCTGCAAATTTTGATGGTGGTGATGGCGGCAGCTGCTGTCCTCACCTGGAGAATCAGAGAATCACCTTGGTGAATTAGGAAGTAAGAGGTTGCCAGCGGCATCCCCAGGATCTTTTGTTAAGGCCATGCGTGTGACAGCGTGACACTCGCAGGAGAGGGGCAGAGCTCGCAGTACAATGCTGCTTTGTCAGACTGACCCCCTGGTCTGCCCCAGAGGCAGCTGGCTGCCACTGAATCCTGCTGCTTCCTCTCCAAAACTCAAGGCATGAGTCGGGGGTCACCCAGATGTATCTCAACTCATTTAACTGCAGAGGAGCTGAACACGCCAACCTGCATGCAGCACCGGAGGCAATAAAGCTGCCCCCCCCTGCCTCCACCATTCACTGCTTTATTGCCAATGCCAGGGGTTCCAAGAAGTCGGCAGCAGCTACCACCCCCATCGCCTCGCCAGAGCCCAGAGGTAAAAGCTCACAAACTCCAGAACCCGGCTGGGAGTGACAAGAGCTCACCTAGGTCAAGCCCCCCAAATCACCAGAACCCCCCAGAAAGTGGTGATTCCACTGAGCTGACTCTGGGCCAGAGGAGGCCACGAGGAGCAAGGAGGCCACAGCTTGCTTTCCTGTGGCTCGGAAGCACCCCCCCCCCCTTGGCTGCACCCATCTGTGGTCTGTTCCTGGTGAAAGGTCTGGCAGACCCGGGCACCAGAATTTAACTTGATGCAGAGTAAATGGGTGGACGAAGGGAGGGGTCCTTCCGACAATCATTTTTTCTGGATGATCTGAGAGCGAGAGAAAGCTCTCCCCGTCTCTCTCCCCACTTTCTGGCCCCCAATTTTCAATGAAGGCTGTGCTTATGTGACCCACTCGGCCAAGCCAGTCATAAACCCAGCGTTGCAACTGCACAGCATTCCAAGATGAGAGCAATTAGATGCATTTGTGGTTCAGGAGGTTGTGTGTTGCGTTGAGGGGGCAGCAGTCAGGCCAGGCATTCTCCCTCAACTCCCCTCTCTCTCTTCTCCCAGCCTGGGTCAGTCGGTTGGTCATTACTCCCAGCTGCCCCGCCTGCCCCCTCCCCAAACAGGTTGCTCGGCATCCCCACCTCGGGCATGTCCTTTTCAGCAGCGAAAGGCTTCTGGGTCAGGAGGCTCCCCTTCCAGGCAGCCTTTTACAGCAATCCTGCCTCCCCCATCTTGAGCAGCAGCACGAAGCCCACGGACATCCTGGATAGCCACACTGGTCTCCGTAGCCAAGTCTGACCCTCCCTTGGCTGAGAAGCAGTGCCTGAGTAGCAAAGCTGTGGGAATCTTGCAGGAATTTTGGCCCTCCCCAGCCCCACCGCAGCTTATGTGCCCACGTCTTCCGAAGCACGTAACCTTAAGAGGCCACGAAGGGCCGAAGCGAAGCCAGAATGAGCAGTGTCACCTCTTGCTGTGTGAGCCATTAACTGGGCATGCACACCCACGCACAGACACACCGCTCAGAGCAAACGTCAGAGTGGAACAAATGCTTGAGTTTTGAAACCACAGAGCTGGCAATTCAGCTGGAGCCAAAGGGCCAGCAGAAAACCAGCCGAGAAAGAGCTGTTTTTGCAGGAAGCCTCCACTCACGGCAGAGAAGCCTCTCGGCCACCCGTTGTGCTGGCATTAGCCAAAGCAGGGGAGGGGGAGCTGCCTGGGCGGAAGGCAAGAAACAGGCCCGGCTGTTGACCAATGAAACAGCTGGCACTGGATGGCCATCGGTGGCAGAGGCTGGAGCTGTAGAGTCCTACACTGGGCAGCCGTTGAACCAGGCCTCCCAAATTTGCTGAACTGGCTGGACAGAGTCACTGGCAATCCCTTTCCTAGAATCTCGGGTCATCTCAGTCCCGTTGGAGCCTTCACTCAATGCAAAATGCCCTGGACTTTCCTGACCTGCTTCGTAGAGAAGGGATGGTCAGCTGCATAAAGAAAGTGACTTCTGGGTGCTCAGTGCTCCCCCAGAAAGTCACAGCCCCAAATCACAGGGCTGGGCTAAGGTTAAGCACTCCAGGCAGCAAGACCACAACAAGTGCCGGGACCATGTCGAAGAATGAAGGGCTTGCCAGGGGGCACAGGACCTGCCCACGGCTGGCTTCCAGTCCCGAGTGCACCAAAAGCACTGAGCCCCACTGCAGGGAAGCCAAGGCAGACAGGCTAAGCCGCACGAGAGACACAAACCACCCAAAAGCAGAAAGAGTGTCACAGGGATGGCCAGCAGCCTCTCCACGCAGCACCCACTGGCTGCAGCTCCCGCACAGGGCGAAAAAGTCTGGAAACAGAATTGGGCCCTCCAGTCTCTGCATGTGGTAGGCTAGGCAGCTCCTGGCTTGCAGCCCTTGTCCCTGGGCCACGCCGGATGTGGGTAGATGCAAACTGCACATCAGAAAGTAAAAGGGCCCCTCTCCCACCCCAAAGCTCTAGGTAAGAAACACTGACACAGAAACACACACAAGCACAGCAAAGCTATCTGAAGCAAGCGTGTAAGGATGCAGGTAAGGACATTCCTCCTGCCTCTTGTCACCCGCCTGGTCTTGGGGAAGCCCCTGTTTTTAGGGCACCTCTGGCTTCTTCCCTGGTGCCCCTCAGGAGGGCTGAAAGGGATGCCCAGGCAACTGAGCGATGGGTGCAGACCTGGGCCACCCACCCAACAAAGCTCAGCCCTTCGTAGCTCCTCTGGGCTCCTCTGCTCAGCAGTGCCCAAGCCTCTCCCAGACAGAACAACATCGGGAGGGGATCTTGGGGGTCTTCTAGCCCAACCCTCTGCTCAGGCAGGAAACCCTCTACCGTTTCAGAAGTCATAAGGATGCAGACAATCCCCTCCTCCCCCCGGAAGGAGGGTCTCCTGGGATCCCACTCCTTCCTCAGCTTTCAGGGTCCCAGGAGAGCCTGGGCTGGTCTCCCATACAACGTGGGGAGGGCCAGAGACCCTCGTGCAGCCGGGCTCCTCCACGGGCTCCTTTTGCACACATGGGAGCAACCGAGTGACCCGGCCAGCCTTTCCCAGCAGATGACACCCTCCGACCCAGACCGCTTGCTCGGGAATCCCCCGGGAATCCGGGAAGAGGCACGCGTTTTCTTCGCGGCTGAAGCCGGGCGACAGAGCGCCGCGAAGCCAAGCAGCAGCCGCTCGGCCAAGGGTCAGATTTCCGAGCGGTGGGCAAAGGCATCAAGTGGCGGGGGGAGGGGGGAGTCTGTCCCAAAGCGCCCAGGGTGGCTCCACAGCCTCGACTTTTGCCTGCTCTCCCCCCCCCCACACACACACACAGCAGCTCCCTCTACGGCACCTCAAGATACGAAGAGGCTCCTCGGGGCAGGAAAGCAAACGCGTCCTCCCCACCCGGGCTGCTCCCTCCCAGGCGGCCGATCCCAGCCCCCCACCCCCGCAGCCCCCGCCCCGCCCAGCACCCCGGTTCTCGCCCACCCCCCGCGCCCCCGGCCGCCTCCAGCCGGCCCCCGGGTACCCGGGCGAGCGCCTGGGGAGCGCGAGGCGGCTGCCGGGCTAGAGTCGGCGCTCCGCGGCGCTCCCCGAGCCACCAGCCGCCGCTCGCGGACGAAAGCGGGCGAGCCGGGCAGCCTCGCCACCTCCGGGCCGGGCGGCTGTCCAGACCGGCGGGCAACTTGCACACCTGCGGGAAGGCGGGGGCGCCACGCGGCTCCTGCTGCGGGCGGAGGAAGCGGCGGCGCTTGAACGGCCCGAGCGGCCCCCGCGCGCCGCGATCCCGGCAGGGAGGCACCCGGAGGCGCGGAGCTCGGTGCCTGCGCGCCCCGACAGCGCCCCCCCCCCGCCGCCTCACCTGTACCAGTCGAGGCCGTGTCCGTAGTTGCGGTCGAAGAAGTGCGGCTCGGTGCCCACGGCGCGGACGTCGGGATGCGCCCGGAGCGCCTCCAGCAGGGCGCGGGTGCCCCCCTTCTTCACCCCGATGATCAGCGCCTGCGGCAGCCGCTTCTCCCCGCAGGCCGGCGTGGCCGTGGCGTCCGCCAGCTGGGCGGCGGCTGGGGTGCTGGCGTCGCCGCCGCCGCCGCCGGGGCTTTCGGCAGGTCGCCCGGGGACGGTGGCGGTGGCGGCGGCGCTGATGGCGGCTACCTGCGCGGCGGCGGCGCTGCTCCGAACCGCCGCCTGCACCGCTTCTGCTGCTGCCGCTGCTGCTGTGGAGCCCGGCAGCGGCGGCGGCGGCGGCGGCTGCGAGGTTTGGGGCTGCGCGGGGCGGCGCGGGGCGGCGGGGCTGGCCGGCGGCGCGGCGGGGCTGGGGGAGCCCTGGGCGGCCAGCGGGGAGCGGAGGGTGCCGGGGCCGCCCATGAGGCTGTAGCAGGCGTAGGTGAGGCAGAGCGAGAGGCTGCACATGCAGAGCAGCTTGCGGGCGGGGGGGCCCTTAGGCGGGGGGGCCATGCCGCCTGCCCGCGCCCAGCCCCGGCCGCATCGTGTCAGCCGCCCGGCCGCCGCCCCCCCGGCTGCAGGGGCCGCTGCCGCCCGCCCGCCCCGCCGCCGCCGCCGCCGCCGCTACCCGAGGGAAGCCCCGCATGGCACAGCCGCCCGCCCGCCCGCCGCCTCCCGAGCGCGCCTGGCCAGTCAGCCACGCCGCCGGCCGGCCCGGGCTCCGCGCCGCGCCAGCTGCCCAAGCAGGGAAAGTTTGGGCCGGGGTCGAGGCGGGGCGGGGGCGGCGGGGCGGGGCCCGGCAGGACGCAACGGGCGGCGGCGGAGGCAGCTCGGGGGGTGACGCCGGCCGGCCGGCTGGCCGCCTCCTGAAAGGCTGGCGAGGGGAAGGCCCCGCCCCCGACCGCCCCCCCTCCCCGCCGCCTCGAGCTCCGCCAACCCGGCGCAGGCAACCCTGAGGGGGCGGGGCTGCTGGCATCGCGGGAAGCGGAGACGGGCGACGGGTTTCGGGGCTCGTGCAAAGTGCGGTGGCAGCGACTTGTGTCCGGAATGGGCAAAGGGCAGAGCCCGCCCCACCTTCCCTCCGTCGCTGTCCCTGCCAGGAGCAGCAGGACTGGGCTGCCTCCCCGCTTCCCGAAGAGCGGAGAGGGCTGGCACCAGCAGCGCCCCCTGGAGGGGACTGGCCGCCAGCAGCTTGGCCCGAACGGGGCGCCTCCGAGCCGCGCATCCAGGGGGCTGCGCAGGATCCACGGAAGCGCCCAGACAGAAAGGAGCAGCAGGCCCAGTCTCTGGCACGTCAGGGTCTCGCCTGGCCGCTTCCCTCGGCCCGCAGGTGCAAGTCACCGCTGCTCTCCGTTGGGCGAGCCCTGGGCCGCCCTTTGCTCAGCAAGGACCAGTGACCAGCAGCAGCCCTCCCTTCTGGGCTGCTGCTGGTCACTGGAAGGCTCCGGACTGTGGAGTTGGGCAGCCCCAGGCTTTGTGGGCGGAAATGGACCAGGCCTGCATCCCACTGTTGGGTGGGACAAAGAGCTGGCAGGCGAGCGGGATTAGGCAGTGCCCCGGGAGCCCCCCCCCCGCTGGTGCTTTTTTCATTTCCCATACTGCGGCAAGTGGGGAGGAGGGGCTCCATGGCCCCATTTCCTCCTGCCCCACCTAGGACGTTGCTCCACTTTGCAGTTCTTCCCCTGACCCTTTGGTTTTCTGCTCTGGCCTGCCAAATAGGCCGGGGGGGGGGGGGAAACAGCCTGGGACCCTGAAAAGCACAGCAGGGGCAGGTTTGAGCTGGTGGCTTCCTGGCATTGTATCCCTCCTGGACCCTCCACCCAAGTGCCTCTTTCATCAGCAGGGCCCCCAGCCCCAGGACTTGCGAATCCAGCCAGGAGGGTTTTCAGAAAGTTCCTTTTCAAGAAACGAAAGAGAGGGCAAATGCTCCTTTCCAAAGATCAGTGGATTATTATTTTATTTTTTTTTTTGAAAGTGTTGGACTCTAATTGACCAAGACCAGAATGCAAGTTTTCCTGATGGGCCTGCAGCCCCACAGATGCCTACTCCCCTCCGCCCCACTCCCCAAGTCCATCAGGCCACAGAAACCGAGGGCTTTGTGCCAGACAACCCCACCCAATGATTGGTGCTCCAATTTCCCCTGAGAAGAAAGCAGGAGTGAAGCTGGCTCATCTTGTCAAGGGGGCAGACTGATTCAGGGCCTTCAGCTCTCCTGCACTGGGATGGCTTCCCTTGGCTTTTTTTAGCTTCCCTTAAAGCATGTGGGCAATCCCAAGCTGGACACCATTCAGCCTGTCCAAGGAGCTTCTTCCCAATAGAGTTCAGTGCCAGTGTCCAGTCTGAGCCTGTCAACCATCATCCCATCCATTACGGAGTCTTAAGCAGCTGTCTGGCACTTCTCTGCTCCCAGAGAGAAGACAAACACCACTGGGAGGCATCCACGTATTGATAATGTCCAGAGGCCTCAATATCCTTGTTCAGCAGTTCCTTGGAGAGCCCAGTTGCCTGAAGGGCAGGTAGAACCTGTGGGGTGCCAGATTTAGAAATTGCTCCATACAAACAGCACCCCCCTCCCCAAAGAGGAGAATATGGCTAATAAATCCCACCATGGTTGCCCTGAAAGGTGCCTATGGGGGGTAGCCAAGACCAAAGGGCAGCTCTGGCGAGTCCCACAGAGTGGCCAGTTGAGGACAAGGCCAGCTTTAGGCCTGAGCCCGAATTAACAGGGCTGCTCATAATCCATCTCTTCCAAGTCAGCCTGGTAAGCCTACCACCCAGAAAGTCCTTCTGGACGAACCAGGCCAGGAGGGAGCAGCCCATCTGGCCCTGAGCCAAGTTGCCACAGTCTGCTTCCAAATGGTCTGCAGCTTTTAGGAGGCGTGGGGGAGAAAGCAGAGGGCAAGTTATCCCCCCCTCCGGAGAAATGAGAAGAGGCTGTTATCTGTGGTCCCAGACCTCCTTAAGTTGGGAGCTGGCATCCACACCCTTCCCTGAGAAAAAGGGGGGTGGGGGCAAGTGGTATTGAAAGGAAGCGGATCAACACAAGAAGGACTAGGGAGGGCAGAAGACGTGGGGAGAGAAACCCCAGGGGAACAATCTGCCCCAGAAAAGGCAGCCAGCCCCCAGTGCCAGTGGAGAGGAGAGCCAGAGGTGGAGAAGGCTCCATCTTTGCTTTTGAACTGATCGCTCACAGCCAGGCCTTCGACAGTGTAGATCTGGAACATATTAAGGTTAACGGGAGTGTCAGAATAGTTGGTTGTGCTTCTGAGGACCCTGTGCAGTGAACAAGATCAGCTGTAAGAGTGGAGCTGGGGGGGGGGGAAGGTTTAGAATAATAAAAAAAATGAGCAGCCCTTATAAAAATAAAAATGACATGTGAAAAATCTGGTTGAATATTGACGACCAGAAGGTAGAATGAAAGACAAGGGAGTCCAGGAGGTCAAGGCAGCAAGTGGCCCTCAGAAAATTGTGGGAGATCCATGCGGACAGGTCCAAATGGCCAGGTGGCCACCGGGGTTAGGGGCACCCAGCTTCCTGTTTGAATTCTGCCAAAGAAGACCATCTATGCATGCCCAACACACTGCTGGGGCTAAGACCATCCTTGAAGAAATCTCCAATTTCAGCACAGCACAAAGAGGCCCTTGATCCAGCCATGACTGCTCTTTGGCCCCCGGTGCTCCTCAAGGTGGGCGGACGATGAGCATCCCGTGGCCTTTTTGATCATGCTGGCACTCGGCACAACCTTCTGCTTCAGGCAGCCCCCCCCCCACCATGCTCCAGTAATATTAATGGATGCTTCTTTCATCTGATGAACAGGGAGCTTGGTGGGCCCTGCGAGAGCTGCTGGTGAGCCCAGTGGTGCCTTCCAAGTGCTCGCTCTCCCAAGTGCTGGCAGATTCAACCTTTGGCTAGTCAAAAGGGTACAGAGAGCCAGGTATTAACCCACCCATGGAGGAAGGGCACCAGGGTCTGCTGCAGGGCTTGTGAAGCAGTCCCCCACCCCGCTCCCTGTGGCCATGTCACCAGGAGCCCCCAGAGGTCAGCCCCAGTGTGGACAAGGCCCAGTGGCATCTTCTCTCTTTGTCCCCAAAGTCCCCCTTGCTGCCCCGTGGGATAAGGGGTCTGAACCCAATCTCCAGGGGCCCCCTACCAGCACTGTGCTGCAGGGCCGCCAAAGGCCCCCTTTCCTTTGGGGGGGGCAGTCTTGGTGCGGAGCCCCCAAGCGCATCTCACCACTTCATTCCCAAGAGGCTACGGAGGGGGGCAGACAAGCCAAGCCGGGAGCCGATTAATTTTTTGACTGCGGTGGCAGCTGCCTGCTCTTTTGGCCATTGCAGTAAATAAATGAAGCCTTTTGCAGCTCAGCAACAGGCAGGAGTCTTGCTTCATCTTGTTTCTGCCGCTGATTTATGACACGGCCAGTAATTTAAACATCTCTGGAGATCTCGGGAATTGCTGCTCGGTACAGCCTGGACGGGAGAGGCTTCCGCTCTCCTGGAAACATCGCCCCCACCTGACGCCCCCGACCCTGTGCCCCAGGTGAGGATCCAGCCGCTCTCAGGGGAAAGCAGGAAAGAGCCCGGCTTCAGGGAAGACACCCCCCCCCCGTGCACACACTACCTTCCCCACCGCTCCTGCAGGTCCGGGGGGGGGGCTTTGAAGGGAGCCTTTTCTGCAGAGCTGGCCCAGACCCCTGTGCCAGGCACGTGCCAGGGAACCTGCCCCAAAGAGCCGCTGCCAGCCCACCAGCCAGCAGGTTTGGGGGAAGCTGCCCCGCTCAGCCCCTGCAGAGCAAAGCCCTGGTCAGCCTGTCTGGGGGAGCCCTCTGGCCTCTTCTCCCTTGAGTGCACCTGCCAGCAAGGGCCAAGGGGGGGGGGCTCTCTGGCTTCATGCCAGCACCTGCCCCCCCCCCAATCTCCTCCGGGCTTCAGTTCCAATCCCAGAGGGCTGGGCATGTTTTCAGGCTGGCAGAGCCCGTCTCCAGCTGGGTTCCAAAGCCTCCCTTGCTGTCTTGCAGGGGAGCAGCACTGCTGTGATGAGGAGCCCCCTCAAAGCACCAAGGGGCTGCACCCCTTTGCACTCTTGGGGCTTGGATGGGGGGCATTCTCCAGCTCTGGGGCTGCTTTTCTACGTCAGATCCAGGCCTGTAGCCCCCCTCTCTTTTCGCTTTTCCCCTGGGTTGTGGGGTTCCAGCAGGATGGGTGCCACTGCCAAGACCGGAGGTGGCCCATAAAGAAGGCGGTTGGAGGGGGGGGCAGCTGGATCTGGCTGCTGAATTGATTGGCAGGAAAGCTGACGAGGGAGGGGCTCTAAAGGAGGCAGCTGGTCCCTGAAGCAGCCCCCTCTGGTTCCGTTGTGGGCTCCTTTCTGCCCAACCAGCTTTCTTCCACCAATGAAATGGATCTCCGCCCAGGGCAGCCTCCTCCTTCTCCTGGGGGGCTGGTAACACTCCATGAGATCCTGCTTGCCCTGCACTTTCTTCCCTGCCCTGGCTGGTGTGGCTTGAGCCCCCCCCCTACACACACCTGCAGGCCCTGCCAATGT